AGGAGCCTGTCCACCTGTCTGTCCTACAGGAGCCTGTCTACCTGTCTGGTTGGAGACTTCTGTCCTCGCTGCCCCGTACGGTCCCGCAGTACTCGCCCAGCTGGTCGTACGCCTCCATGGTGCGAGCCTCACTGATAACCAGCAGACGTCTGACGGCGGCGGAGGAGCTGCAGCTCACAGTGAGGATGCAGGACGAGCCTTCCTCCACCTGCTCCAACAGAACTGGGCCCACCCTGCAGAAGAAGTTGATTGAAGCACCATGAGATGTGACCTCATCAGTCATAATTCATCTCCGCCTCTTCTGATGGCAGAAGCACGTCTACCCACTTCTCTCTGTGTGACTGACTGAGGTCCTCTTCATCGATGTTTCTGCTGCTGAGATGAACGGGAAGCAGGACGTCTGCCAGGCAACAGCCCGGAGTCCGACACGCCCAAGCAGCTCCACGTTTCACACCGATGTCCACCATGGTGCTGAAGACGGACCTGAAACCTTCAAGACAACAGAACACAAACAGCTCAGGAGGCAGCGAGGAGCGGAACAAAAACAGATCGATCCAATCGACCTTTATCTCTACAGGTTCGTCCCATTGAGCCTCAGGGACTCGTTTAGAGAGACCTGCTTTAACGAAGAGCGATGACGACAGTGGACAAGCATAAAAGAGGCGTACAATTATTATTTTTTACAAATTAAAATAAAATAGCAACCAAAAGGACAGTCAAAAGGAAAAAGTAGCAACACAACCCCAGACGGACAGATTACAAGGCGGTGTAGTAAACTAAAAGCAGGAATGTCTGTGTTGGTCTTTGCAGGACCTTTAATCAGGACTGCTAGAAGTTTAGTTAAGGACAAACTTTAATAAAACACTACAACAATGTCCTTCGTCCTCCTGTATTAGTGTTTGTGTAAAATACTGAACCAGACGAGTGGCACACAGAAAAAAGATCTTTTATATTAGAGATTTGATTTAATTTAAAATGTCTACATTCTTTCAATTGTTAATTTTTCTCAATCTGTTGAAAATAAAACTTGTTTTTACATTCTACGGTTTCCAGATTTATAGCATCTTATTTTACATATAAATCAATAAATTACTTCTTTCCACAAATTATCTCGATTCTCCAACAGAAAATTAATTAGTTTTTAAATGACCAACTAAATAAGTTCCTCTTGGAGCAACAGGAACTCAGCGTCAATTAGACATGAACTACAAATTAAGATGTTTTACATCATTTTAGTCTTTATGAGTAATTCTCTATAATAAATTATTAGTTTAGCTTGTTTAAATTAGCCTCATTTAACTTGTACAGTGGTTATTTACCAGCAGACTCCTTTAAAAGTCCGAAATGAGAAAATAACTCATTGTCCTGTCAGATTGCAGCACTTCACATCTGATCGATATTTAAATATTTTACTGTTTACAGACTTATGTCTACTTGTTAAATAAAACCACATGTGATTTAAATCTTTTTCAGCACGATACTCCAAATGTTAGCTTGCTACATCAAACAGATTATTTTTACCGTCAATCTGCGTCAGTTCTAACCGTTAATCGGCTTCTCGGGGTTTCCTTCACCTCATGTCTCCACACGGATTAAAACAAACGTCACCAAACAACAGCTTCTCTCAGAAATGATCAAAAATACTCTGTGGATTTTTATCCTGAAGGAGTTGAAACAACGACAACAGAGCGCGACGGTGTTTTGGTCTTACGTCATCAAACAGCGACTCATTCCAGCTCCGCGAAAGGCGAGGGAAGAAACGTCTTTATTTTTACGTAAACGATTAATTTATACAGGGATATTTCATAGTAAATATAAATACTGGCTTTGATAGTGTAGCTTTGATTTACTGTTTACAAACTGTTTTATTTACCAGCTCTTTATCGTTCATTTCGTGTTTACAGGCGTATAAATGTTTGTTTATTCAGTCCAGTTCTTTTACATTACTTTGGACACTTCATTACCAGCAACAGCTTTCTGTAAAAGCCAGTGTTGTTTCTTTGTCCATGTTTGTATGTTTGAAACCTGCAGAATGAAAAGTTTGACAGACATGAAATAGTATTTTTAAGGTGATCCCCAAAGAGCTGAAAGGTGTTATGGATTCTATTTGATAAGTTTTGGATCCTGTGCATTCAAATTAAATTTAGTATTGTATGCATTCTCACTGTTTCCTAGATTAAACCTAACCTTTCCTGTTTTAAAGCAGATGATGGACTTCACAGAGTGCTACGTAGACACGGTGTCCAGTGTTGCTGCTGCAGCTCGTTCCGGCTGCAGACGACAGCTCAGGAGGCTGATGATGGAGAGAGGCGGCAGCGTGGACTGCAGAGACAACCGCGGCTGGAACGCCCTGCACGAGGCGGCAGCAGCCGGCAGCAAGGCGTGTGTGCAGGAAATATTGTCTGCAGTGTCCCGTAAGAAAGGTAGGACACATTTTATATTAGTTAATGCTGCCAAATAACTCAGTTTGGCAAACATTAACTAAAAACCCAACAAAGTTCAGTCAGGTTCTCTGGATGGTTTCTTTGTGTAGAAACATTTCATCTTTCATCCAAAAGATTACATCAGTCCAAAGAGCACAACAAACTCAGTCCCATAAGTAGCGCACTCACATAGTGGGCCAACCAGTTTGATGGTGATAAGATGGTTTCTGGGGCCCGCTCTGTCCCCCGTCGACTCCTCTGAGGCAGCCAAAGTGCTTCAAACATCAAAGTTCATGTTCAATAATCCAGGTAAAACCTGGTTGGCCCACTATGTGAGTGTGCTACTTATGGGACTGAGTTTGTTGTGGCTCCTCGAACTGATGAAGTCCTTTGGATGAAAGATGAAATGTTTCAACAAGAAGAAATCATCCAGAGGACTAGAGAACTTTTTTAAATTTATTACTAGGATTGTTGAGCATGAACTTTGATTACCATAACTAAAAACAATCTTTAGTGTCCAAAAAAGATCGGATGCCTTCCTGACACAACCCTCACCGTTTACCCGGGCTTGGGACCAGAACCAGAGAAACACTGTCTTGTGCTCCCTAGTGGCTGGTTTAGGTTTCTCTTTAGTCACATGTTTTTTATTTTTGTCTCTTTCCTGTTCCACGTCTCTCTGGGTGCAGCACGTTTCTCCAGATGTGATTACGTGAACTCTTTAACTCATGAGGGGGAGTCAGCGTGTTACCTGGCGGCGCAGCGTGGACACCTGTCTGTGGTTGGACTCCTCCTGAAAGCTCACGCTGACATCAACCAGCTGACGAATGACTTGTCTTGTCCTCTGTACGCAGGTAGAACCTTCACACGCAGCCTGGTGTAAACACACAAATGAACTTACTTTTAAAGATCAACTTGTTTTCCACCAGCTGTAGATGACGGACACCTGGACGTTGTTAAACTGCTGGTCAGCAGAGGAGCAGAGGTGGACAGAACTCACACAGCTTCCTGTTGGACCTGTCTTCATCAAGCTGTTTACAAGGTTACTCATCAGATGGACTAAAACTAACCATCAGTGCAGTCTGAGCTGATGCAGTTTAAATAAATACCTTTTCCTTCATCAGGGTCACTGTGACATCGTGCAGATTCTGGTGAACGTTTGCAACCTGGAGGCGCTCGATGACCACAAGATCTCTGCTCTGTTTGTGGCTGCACAGTACGGACAGAGCGAGTGTCTGCAGACACTTATGAACGCTGGTAAAGACTTTGATTCAAGCTGTGTTGTCTGTGGCTTGTCTGCAGCAGAACATGAAAATACCTTTAAAACATCAAAACTGCATCTTGACTGACTGAAGTCAGTATCTGCGTCTTTGCTCTTAATCCTGTAATAAAAACATGTTTTCTGTCCTGATCATCCAGGTCCTCTGGACCGGACCGAAGAACCCGTCCAGAGGACCTGACTCCACTTGTTAGATGATGTTCACTGTGTGTCCTGTTCAGGAGCCCAGGTGAACACCCAGGCAGCTGATCTGGCCACGCCGCTGCTGATAGCTTCTCAGGAGGGCCACCAGGCCTGTGTGGACCTGCTGTTGGACCACGGCGCCGACCCGAACGTGGTCTGCAGTCAGGAGTGGCCCCAGCTTCCTCTTCATGCTGCAGCTGAGTTTGGACACATCAGGTTGGTTCCATGACTTCAGAATCCAGGAAAACGTTCAAGATTTATTTGATGTTTAATCGTAGAAGCACCAGGTTCTCTGAGTTTGTTTGAACTGTGTGATCCAGCATCCTCAGGAGGCTGATAGACGCCACGGACCGATCATGTGACCGCAGCGACAGCATGGTGAGTCCGCTGTACGTGGCCATCCACAGCGATCAGACCAGCTGCATCCAGCTGTTCCTGGAGGAAGGATTCAGTCCAGACGCCCAGGACTGCACACGAACGCTGGGCTTCAGTTCTCCGCTCGCCCTGGCGTTGTTTCGTGCGAACAACAAACCAGGCAGGTGTGTGGCTTTGACCCCAACACAGTCACCACATCATTTACAGAGTCCGTTAAAAAGCAGGCCATCATGTAACTGCATGTGTGTGTTTGTCTGTCAGCAAAATATCTCTTGAACCACTGGATGGTTTCTAATCACCGGATGTACATGTACATCTGCAACTGATTTCTTTTGTTGGAATCAAGATGGCCGCCACAGCTAATTTACCTTAAAATGTCATTTCAGCTGATATCAAGCTAAGGTTTGGTGTGGTAGTAGCTGAGAGTCATCTTCAGCAGTTACTCTGAATGCCAACAGATCAGAAGATATCCTTATTTAAAACTTAAGCAAGGTGGCGTTTGACTTTTAACTGGGGATGCTCTGATCAGGTTTTTTTGGGCCAATCACCGATATGATCACTGATATGATCTCTGATATGATCACTGATATGATCTCTGATATGATCACTGATATGATCACTGATATGATTACTGATATTATCACGGTACTGATCACTGATATTATCACGGTACTGATCACTGATATGATCACTGATATGATCACGGTACTGATCACTGATATGATCACTGATACGATCACTGATACGATCACTGATATGATCACTGATACGATCACTGATACGATCACTGATATGATCACGGTACTGATCACTGATACGATCACTGATATGATCACTGATATGATCACTGATATGATCACGGTACTGATCACTGATATGATCACTGATACGATCACTGATATGATCACAGTACTGATCACTGATATGATCACTGATATGATCACGGTACTGATCACTGATATGATCACTGATATGATCACGGTACTGATCACTGATATGATCACGGTACTGATCACTGATACGATCACTGATATGATCACTGATACGATCACTGAAACGATCACTGATATGATCACTGATACGATCACTGATATGATCACGGTACTGATCACTGATACGATCACTGATATGATCACGGTACTGATCACTGATATGATCACGGAACTGATCACTGATATTATCACAGTACTGATCACTGATACGATCACTGATATGATCACTGATATTATCACAGTACTGATCACTGATACGATCACTGATATGATCACTGATACGATCACTGATATGATCACTGATACGATCACTGATATGATCACGGTACTGATCACTGATATGATCACTGATACGATCACTGATATGATCACTGATACGATCACTGATATGATCACTGATACGATCACTGATATGATCACTGATATGATCACTGATACGATCACTGATATGATCACGGTACTGATCACTGATATGATCACATGGACTGGCTGTTAATTTTTTTGATTTATTTAAGATGAGTGCTACTTGCTACGTGATCTGGAAAATAGGAACCATAAAATCACCTTAATTTGGACAAAAACATGTTGTTATTTACTTTTTCAAGACAAAAACCATAAAATAAAAAAAACTGTATTTCTCCAGGTTAGTCTCATTGAGCCTTTGAACCTTTTATTCTGTTTTGTATGTTTTTCAGTGAATGTTTGAACCTTTTATTCTGTGTTTAATGTTTTTCAGTGAATGTTTGAACCTTTCATTCTGTGTTTAATATTTTTCAGTGAATGTTTGAAGCTGCTGCTCGCTGCAGGAGCAGCTCTGGGTGTAGAAGAATGGACGTATGTCTTGGCCACACACACCACCGACCTGCTGGATCTGGTTCTGAACTACATGTGGATCCCTCGGACAGAGAGTCTAACCTCAGACTGCTCTTCTTCACATCATCATCGTCATCGTCGTCATCATCATCATCATGAGCAGAGGGAGCTCCAGCTGCAGGAAGTGAGGGACCTGGTCTTTGTGGCTCTGAATCAAGTATGCTTTGCCTCCTGTTGGCTTCCTGCACTCCTGAGGGCCGGACTGGACCCGTCCTTACTGCTTCACCCTCACATGTAAGCCCGCGACGTGCTCACTCAGTCCACACGTCGTATCTGTCTCACTGCTGTCCTCTGTCCTCTGCAGGCTGGGGGAGGCAGACAGCCAGGTGTTGAACTACCTGCTTCAGTTTGTGAACTGGTCCGCTCTGTCTCCTCCTCTCAAGCTGATTCTGGAGCAGCGACGGGCAGAACAGACCTGGGATTCATGCACTAATTTTGGTACAGATTTTATTTACTGTGTCATTGCATGAATGCTGAGTCAGCGTGTTTTCCTGCTCCTGTGCAGGTTTTGGACTCCTTCAGGTCTCAAAACGTTCATCTCAGGAGATTACAGCTAATCTTTCTATTTTTTATACATTTTGAATGATTCAACTTTATTTAGTTCACTTCAAATCTTTGAATTCTACTTCAGCGTACGTTTTATTTTGTAGCTGCTGTTGCAGCTCTCATGAACCGTTTAGCTCATTTTAACTTCAGCTGTTCAGTTTCAGCTTCTTTATTTTCACAGAAATGACAAGTTTCTGTGGTCATTTTCACTCTTTGCTCTTTTCTCACTGCAGATTTGGTTCCTTGTTTGTCCCAAATCTGCCGGCTAAAGATCCGAGAGGTTCTGGGAGCAGATGTACTGATGAGGACCACCATGGTCCAGCAGCTGCCCGTTCCCTCCCTGCTTCATGATTTCCTGCAGTTCAGAGACATTCAGGAGCCTTCCCACCTGCGCCCACCACCATCACCTGTTGCAAGTGGAGCTCAGAGAGGCCGCAGCTCGCAGCAGCACCGCCACGTTCTCAACGACTTCAGGTCTCCTCTGGACATGGTTTGAAGATCAGTCTGTGGTTCCGGATCCACTTCAGCTGGAACACTCAGAGACCAAATGCTACATTTCTTTTCAGAATTTAATGCTCATCACCTTCCAGGATGTTTGGAAGCTTTGCTTGTTTTGAAAGTCCCATGAAAAATAAAGTTTGTAAAAAACATCTGCTTCATCATTCAGGATTTGTTTCCGGCCACATTTCTTCCTCCAGGACGATGGGTCCCCACTGTCCTTCCAGTTTTTAATAATGTCTTGGACAGTTCTTAACCCAGTTTTAGTTTCTACAACCTCCTTAGATGTTTTCTCTGCTTGATGCCAATGATTTGACCCTTCTCAAACAGACTGACATCGTTTCCACGACCACGCCATGAGTCTTTAGACATGGTTGTTGAAGAAATGAGAAGCAACTCATTGCACCAGTTGGGGTTCAATTCAGTTTAATTATAAAGCACCAAATCACAACAAAGTTGTTTCAGGACACTTTACAGGAACATTCACATACATAAAAGCCAATTAAATTAATAATTAATAACTTGTTGCAGCTGAAAGATAATCGTCCATGCAGCAATTATCCAACAGGAGGCTCGGACCTGTTTAATTAGTTAAATCCAGGTGGAGACTTGTTTTTTGGCCGGGCAGTGTATTTCTTCTTGGCTAACCTCTTTCTTTGAACATCTTCCTGCACTTCACTGTTCCATCACCAGGTTTCCTGATCATCCATTCTCTGTCCAGATGACACACCAAGTACCTTCCTACCTGTCTCTCTAATTACTGTTGCTGTAGTAGTCCAGTCATCTGGAAGCTCTTTCTTACCACCCAGAGCCTTTAACAGCTCCTCTCTGAATTTATCACATTCTTCCTTCATCTTCCACCAGAAACTGATCTTATGGATCTTTCATATAACATCTGCTGCATCAACATCTGCTGCATCAACGTCTGCTGCATCAACGTCTGCTGCATCAACATCTGCTGCATCAACGTCTGCTGCATCAATGTCTGCTGCATCAATGTCTGCTGCATCAACGCCTGCTGTATCAACATCTGCTGCATCAACATCTGCTGCATCAACGTCTGCTGCATCAATGTCTGCTGCATCAATGTCTGCTGCATCAACGCCTGCTGTATCAACATCTGCTGCATCAACATCTGCTGCATCAACATCTGCTGCATCAACATCTGCTGCATCAACGTCTGCTGCATCAATGTCTGCTGCATCAATGTCTGCTGCATCAACGCCTGCTGCATCAACATCTGCTGCATCAACATCTGCTGCATCAACATCTGCTGCATCAACATCTGCTGCATCAACGTCTGCTGCATCAACGTCTGCTGCATCAACATCTGCTGCATCAACATCTGCTGCCGTCATACATCTCCTCCTACATGTCTCTGTGTGAGTGCAGCTACAGCGTGCGCTCTCAGGACATCATTACCTGCAGTGTTCCCTCAGTGAGGACTGAACTAGACAAAAGGACCTTCTCCTACTCCGCTCCTGTTTCCTGGAACATCTTGTAAAAAGATCTGAAGCTCTTGACCTTTGACCTCTCTAAGTGTCTTTAAGAATCTGTTGGACTCCTGGCAGGGACCAATGCAGACATGTTCCTGTTTTTAGTTTTCTACATTCACCTTACAATCTAGCTGATTTTTTGCTACTTTTCCTTTTAATTACCATTTTATTTGCACTTGTTAAAAAAAAAAATAATTGTACGCATCCTTTATCCACGCATCCACCTGGAGAGCTGGTGCAGAGAGAATAACCTTCACATCAATGTGAAGAAGACAAAGGAGATGATTGTGGACTTCAGAAGGAACAAAAACACCTACACCCCCCTGAACATAAGAGGATCTGCGGTGGAAGTGGTCTCCAGCTACAAGTACTTGGGTGTACACATGAATGACAACCTCAGCTGGAGCAACAACACCACCAGCCTGATCAAGAAAGCTCATCAGAGACTCTACTTCCTCAGACGGCTGAGGCGAGCTGGTCTGGAAGCTCAGTCCTCACCTCCTTCTACAGGTGTGCAGTGGAGAGCATCCTGTGCTCGAGCATCAATGTGTGGCATGGAGGCTGCACAGCTGCAGAAAGAAAAGCTTTGCAGAGAGTGGTGAAGGCTGCACAGAAATCTGTCGGAATCAGCCTCCCCACCATCACAGACATCTACACCTCCAGATGCAGGAAGAGGGCCACCTGCATCATGAAGGACCCCACCCACCCAGCACACACACTTTTTGCCCCACTCCCCTCAGGAAGGAGGTTAAGGAGCATTAAGTGTAGAACCACTAGACTGAGGAACAGCTTCTACCCTGAGGCTGTTAGACTCATGAATCTCTAACTAGAATAATCACTGTGAAAAACCATATCATGTTGCTGCTGATCTGTTTCATGTTGCTGCTGATCTGTTTCA